GTGCTGGCCATGGGGGCCGAGAGGTCTGGCGAGTCATGTTTCGCTGGTTCCTCGGCTGTCTTGGGCTCAGAAGGTCTTGTGGTTGAGTCGGCAGTCCTCTCGAGGTTCATGTTCGTGGCTGGCGGAGGAGATGTGGATTGGCCTTTGTCGGAAGGACTCAGGAGAATGTCATCAAAGGTTGGTGACCTGGTGATTTTTGCGCTGCCTTGCTCGAGTATCTGAGGAGGAACAGCTGCACCGACTCTGGGCTGATTGCGCTTGAGGCCGGGGTCTGAATCTCCAGATTCCTCATCCGCCCCGAAAAGAAGACTTGTCTTTTTGATCGTTCTGGAGAAATTCGCGTTAGCTCCAACCAAAGCACGATACAGCATCGAGGAAGGGTCGAGACTCACTCTTGAATGGAACCCATTGCTGTCGTCGGCGAAGGAAGAGATTCCCACACCGACGAATACCAAGGTTTTTGGCTGGACCTTCTTTGTCCTTGTCCCCTCTCTGAGGGATCTAGGGGTTGCTGGGCCTCTCTCGCCAAAGCAGGGCCTCGTCCTGCCCCATCGCCTTGGTATGCCGGTGCCCGGCTGTAATACTGCGGTTCGTCATAATCCTCGATGTTTAGACTCTCGAGGGCTCCCGCGGCGACGCTCGAGTACATGTCCGGCTCGGGGTTTGAAGGGACAGCGTATTCAGGCCGGGGGTGAGCCGTGCTGCGCACGATGGACCGGACGACCCACGGATTCGGTCTTCCCGGCTGGTACCGCGAGGGACCGAACACTTTTTCCAGTTCGATGCGGACGCGGACACGCGAAGGGTGCTGGGTTGCGGAGCTGGTGTGTTCGAACCGCAGCAATGCGTTGCCAATGTGTCTCAGGCAGCTTTGGATGGTTGAGTCACCGGGCCGTGCGTTATCGCGGGATCCGGTCGCGTTGAGGGTGGGTTGATGATTTTTCCGAGCTTCCTCGTTTGCGCGGAGCATGTTCCCTAGCAGCGTCCTTGAGGAGGCGTTGTCGTCGTCGTCGTCGTCGTCGCTGGGGTTCTTGGACGAGCTCTCCTTCCTACACACATGTGACACAAACAGTTAGTTAGATAATTGAGTCTCTTCCCTCACAGGGTCTCTTGTTTTGTCAGAGATACACACGGGGGGGGGGCGAGTAAGAAAACATACTCGTCCGTCGAATCCGCCGCGTTCAACAGGTCACTAAGCATCATTAGGAGCGTGCTCTTGATCCGGTCCAGGTTTCCGCCCAGGTGGTCTATTTATCATTTGTTAGAAAAGAAAAGTCATTGGAGCTTGTGGCCCAGACAGATATGGAGTCAGTTGGAGCGGGATTGGCTAAACTTACCCATTTCCATGATCACGGCTCCCTTTGACGATGACGACGAGCTCTCCACGGCTCTCGCGACCAGGGCGTCCATATCCCTAAACACGGTTCCGCACTCGACCACGATCTCCTTGGCTATCTTCAACGTCGCGTCCGAGTCCGAGTCGGCGTCGGCGTCGGCGTTGGAGTCCAGCTTGGCCTTGCCATTATCATGACTTGCGTGATTATCGTCATGATCATGATCCTGGGGTTTCAGGTTCGCGCGTAGTTCCGCCAACACCGAGCATGTCAGCGACACGTCCCGAGCAAGGTCTCTGGCCTTGTAGGAGGCGGAGGATGGGATTGTAGAAGAAGATGAGGAGGAGGATGAGGCCGAGGACGCCGATGGAGTGGTAGTGATAGCGACGGTCTCGGAAAAGGTGTACAGCGCGATGGACAGCCTGGTGCCGACGCCGGCGACTCGGGCGATGGTGGCAACGAGGTCGACTTGAGCCATCTTGTTTCACTCTCTTTCTCTCTATCCCTATATCTTGCCGATTCTCGATTCTCGCAACAGAGACGTAATAGAGATGCTCAGACGTTGAGAGGATGACAGCGGTGATGAAGATGATGATCCTCCGAAAGAAAAATAAGATTGCCTCTCCGGCTGACGGCCGGACGCTCTGTTCTTCTCAGCCCCTTTCGACCGTCCACTATCCCCTGTAAATGATACCTCGTCCTGGACGTCGAATAAAGAAATGGCAACGGTTCACACAGACAGACATACGCCCCTCGTAAAAAAAAACCTACGAGTATGTATGTGATATATCCCGGGATAGGTGTCTACCTGGCGAGCTGGGTACCAGGGCTATTTATACTGTAAGCTGAAATCCTGTACTACTGCACTACTTGTACTAACTGCTAGTGTACTAACCCTAAACACTGTGATCTGTTCCAAAACGAAGCTGACTAAAGAAGAAAAAAACGGCCCCCGCAAACTATTTTCGGTCTCCGGGAGACGGTTACGAGCTAGCGAGTAGTACCTCTTACAAGTCTACCGAATAACCTTGTACCTTCCCGATCATCGCACAGAACGAGGTAATATGGATAAGGGAGTTCTTCGTGAGTGCTCATTAATGGGAGGAAACCCCCTTCCGAGGGTTCGCAATTATTGAACATTGAGATTTCCTTGGTCACCTGGCGATCCAGAATATTTTCCTTTGGCGTTCTGCGTTCTGCGTGCTGGATGTGGAGACATGGAATAACAGGACAAGAAGGAAGATGAAAGACAGAGATACTCGGTACTCTGCAAAGAGACTTTTGATGCACCGTCATGATCGTCGAGGATAATATCCTTTGCAATCTGGTCGAGGGATGGACATCCTGAATCCATGGAGCGAGCATGGCGGAGACAAGCTTTTCCGGTCCATGAGTCGAGAGAGCGGGAACATTACCTTTTCCGTTGCCGAAAATGTGGGGCTATGCTTACCTGTGGCTGCGGCGCCTCAGGCGCACACGGAGGCTGTGCTCGCAGCTTATTGATCGCTCATTGGATGAAACCCAGGAGAGATGATGTCACGGAAGACGCCCCGTGCCGAGCCCTGGCAAGCGGAAAGAGTCAAGATAGGACTGTGTGTATATGGGTGTATAGTGCAACGGCCAAATTTCCCTAACAAAAGAACCACAAAATTCTGACAACCCCTGGTGCTAGCTTGTCTTCTCACATACTGAGCACTGAGAGATCCAAGGAGCTCGTTTAGACCTTTCGCTTTCTCTTCAGCTTCATGCCAGATGACCAAGACAAGGCATACTCGCTGGTATCGTCACCTCGTCATGCTCTTAACAAGGTATATAAGTTTCTCTCGAGACGCGGGGGATTCCTGCCCTTTGATCCAGATCAAACTTTCCTACCTTGACATTCTTCACTTTACTTGATCTTCTGTTCAGAGAGATCATGGTTTCAGAACCAACATTGGGCGAGCGAAGACGACATTACTCGTCCCGGATCCAAGGACCTCCTCCATCAATCACCCAACAGCAGCCTCATCAATGGCCACTAGAACGCCCAAAGAACAAGACTCGGGTATTGACTACGCGTGCAGGGAAGCTCTCGTATGTCGACAGTGCTCAGGGCGTCATCAATCCCCGGAACGAGCCTTACAAGGCCATCTTCAAATCCGTCGCTGGATACGACAAACTCCCTCTGCCAAGGTCGCATCAAGTCATGTACACAAGCCTGAATTTGCGCAAGTACCTGGATCGAACCCACTGCTTGATGCTGCTTCACGCGCTGTCCAAGCAGAGAGTCAAGATATGGTTAAAAATTGGGAATAGACCCATGTCCAATGTCCACGTTGACCAGGCCACCGTCCTGATCCTTTCCATTGCCTTGCGCTCTAGGTCGGGGGAAAAGGCCGAGCTTGTCGGTGAGCTGATTGGTCTGGCCCACCCAAGAACACTGGAGTATCTTGCCAGATACATCCGGCCACCACTGTGTGACGCCTCAATCATCGCCAGCCTCGTCAATGCCACGGTGCGACAGTACACGCAACCCCGCCGCGCCAATAATGGGGAATTCGGCTCGTTTCAACTCTTCAGACTGGTTCCCCCGATAATCGCAGATCTCCTCATGAAACTCGATCAGAGAACCACCACCAACTTCCTGAAAGGAGTCTTGACAAGACTGATCACCAGTCACCCAAACGAGCACAAAGAGCGAGGCATGAAACTTGGGCTCCTCCTAGTCGGGATTCGAAAAGCGCTCCGTCGATTGCTGGAAAACGACAAGAAGAACCGCTCGCGCTTCGAGTTATTGGTCGACTGTGTCTTTGGGCTCTTGTCCAGTGCAGGCCCCTTGGGCGTGGGCGGCGCGCTGACAGTCGTCCAGCTTCTCGTCAAGCAGATTTGGAAAGCAAAGGGGGAAGTCAGGGAGAGGAAGCTCCGGGAACTCTGGGAGAGCATAGTCTCGCAGGCGGATATCCTGATTGAGAGGAATCTGGCGAGCGATAGATACAAGATTCGCAATTTCCACACCTGCAGATCGTGGATGAGGAAAGTGGACAGTGAATGGCCCATCTAAGTGGAGGGCGAAGGGAGTTTGCTGCTACTGCTACTTGTACTGGTGCGCGTGTGTTTCCTGGTCATTTCTCTAGACTAGATCATCTGCAAGTTCAGCGTTGATATATATGGTATGGGCATATTTTTTTGCGATAGATGATACCCCTGGCGGTGGCCCCTTGTACACGCATTCGAACAGTAACATTTTTCAATTTTTATTTCGATTATTTCAAAATAAAAAACTTCGTCATGCTCTTTGATTGAACCATCGTGTCACCGCACCAGGGGGTGATAGACTACGATGGCCACGCAAAGATTTGGAAATCGGCACACGCAGATTCTGCGAGCAGGTAGACAGGTGTCTAGATATCTAGGTACCTGCGAGGTATGGGAGTGTCTGTCTATCACTTCGAGGAGATGGGATGCGTGTGGTGGTGGTGGTGGTGTTACTCACTGCTCGTACTTGTGCATGGTACATAGTGATGCAGCTACGTGGCTAGGTATTGGGCATGGGCATGCATACATGCAAACATACACATCCCTCCCCACACGCCTCCGATCATATATTCCCCAGTTCCAGCAGCCCCAGACCCAGCCCCAACCCCGTTCTCTCCATCTTTTACCTCACTCTCTCTCTCTCCATCTCTCTCACGCTCTACAATCAACCAGGATCTTGACGTGCTTGTCCTTGTCCTCGATCAGCGGCCGGAACCCGTCCTCGGCCACGCGATCGATTTTGATCTTGCTCGTAATCATTTTTTGTGGTTGCAAAGAGTTGTCGGCGAGAGCGTTGATGACCCCTGCAAAGTCGGATTGGAGGTAGCCCAGGACTAGCGTGTAGCAGATCAGTCACGGAATGGTGTGCGCAGATGTACATCACGACACAGTGAATGGATGGATGGATGAATGCTCGGGCTTCAGACCAGCTACTAAGTCTGCGAATAGCCTCCTCCTCGAACGAAAAAAAGGAGAATGAATTCAAAAAGGTATGAAGTGGGAATGATATGACTTACTCGCAAAGTATTTCTTCTCTCCGAATACAAGGGTGTTGGGTTGGAACGGTACCTGTCACTCCGTAATAAAAAATCAGCCTCGTCAAAATTCCCCTTTACTCACCTTCTTGCCGTCTCGCAAACCTCCACCGCTGTCGTGGCGGTTCCTGCACTTGAAGGCGACAACGCAGGGAGATACATACCTCTTTTTCCCAGATCGCCAGGTTCACAATCGTGCCGCGCGCCCTCACCGCCAACGCCGCGTCCCTCAAACTGGCCGGCACGCCCGCCGCGTCCAACGCGACGTGCGGTCCCTGACCGTTTGTGATTTCTTTGCTCCTCTTGACCACGTCCTCGGTCCTCGGATCGATCACATGCGTCGCGCCAAAGGCCCGGGCAAAGTTCTGCCGCTCCTTTGCTATCTCGACCACGATGATGGTGCCCGCGCCGCGGGCCTTGAGGCATTGGATGACCCCGAGACCGATGGGGCCGGCACCCATGACGAGCGCGGCATCGCCTTTTTTCAAAGGGTACTATGCACATAGATTTCGCATCAGCATCACACATGACTCCTTGAATAAAAGACCACGTAAATCTCATTCGTCTTCTCCTCGAAAAAAAGTGTCTGTGAAGAACCTTATTCTCACCTGGTCAACCGCATGCCACGCCACGGCCAACGGCTCTACCAGCGCACCCACGTCCAAACCGACATGGTCCGGCAACTTGAACACAAACTGCGCGTCGACACAGACATAGTCGCTCATTCCACCTCCGCCACCGCTCAGCCCCACAAACCCGGCCGAGTCGCAGCAGTTGATGTAGCCATCGTGGCAAGGGCCGCAGTGGAAACAGGCCAGGGTGGGCTGCACGGCGACCTTATCCCCGACCTCGAGGGTCTGGCCCTGGAAGTTTGGGTGGGACGCCGCCGAACTGCCAATTTCGACAATCTCCCCGGAGAATTCGTGGCCGATGGCGACGGGCATCACCTCTTTTGTCAGGGGGTGGGGAGAGTTGGGTTGTGGGATGAATGTCGGCGACGAGTATTCGTGTACTAAAAACGATAGTAAGTTTGAAATGGTTCATGCAGACTGACTGTCCTTCCTAGACCACATGTGTTGCCCCATTTAGAGTGATGATAATAGCTAGCCGGCTAGCTCGACTCGTTCCAATCCAATCTCGGGCCAGAGGACAAGGACGTAAAGGACGAGGGAACAACTCACAATCCGTTCCACAGATCCCACAAAAAGCAGCTGCCAAAACGCGCAATCACAATCCATCAGCTTTTCATCATCCAGAGACTGCGAAATACAAGACAACAAGACGATTGACTCTCTGCTAGATGGTCCATGACCTGACCCGTCCGGGATGGTGCGTAGACTCACGCTTGACCTTGATCTGGTTCTCGCCGCATTTCGGTTCGGGAATGTCGTTGTCGACGCGGAGGTCTTTGACGCCGTGGTATCGGAGGGCGCGCATAGTGATCGTGTCGCAGGGGTCTTTGTATCGAAGGACGATGTGCTATGCGCGATGTAGTGGAGGGTTCACGAAATATAATGAGTTATGAGAGGTGCCGACAAGGGTATGTTTGTATATCCTTGGTTAGATAGACCAGTCCAGGCCAGGTCAGTCTACTGACTACCGAGTACAGCGTACAACAAAAGAGGTACAGTATGTACTTGTTCTTTATACTTGTTTTCGTAGGTGCAATATGAACCCCAGCTTTATTCAAGTGCCTGTGAGAGGTAAACACGGTCAAACGGAGGGCCAGCATCCACAGCCTCGCAAACATGGAGAGAGGAGCTCCAGCCAAACTCGGTGTTGGTCCAATAATCAATGACTGTCTGGTGCTGCCCTCTCTCTTCAAGAGAAATGCGTGAGGGGAAAGCAAACCTTGGGCGCAGTTCGGAGCATCTGAGCGTTCAGCCACAGCCAAGCCTTAGTGTTAGCCACAGTCACTGGCCACATGTTTACATCTCCTCATTCAAAGTACTTGTGCAGCGAGTGGCTGTGACGACCTTCTCCGCCTGCGCCAATACGCCGTGGCATCTTAGAAAAGTGGAAACATTCAACAAAGACTCTTCCTCGTCCACGTTGATGATCCTTCAATGCAGATCCGGGGAAGAAAACCCTAACCATGTCTCACTCAACCCCTGTCATGGACATTAATTAAGCACTCTATCAGCTTTTGATCTCTGTGCAATAGTACTATCCCCCCCTTAGCCTCCAAAAACTGAAGCCCTCACAGACGCGCTCGCTAAAGGATTGAAAGTGCTGTTGGCCACAAGCCGACACGCTCAAAAAACATAAATCGTCAAGCCCACTTCCGCATATCGTCATTCCACTCCGTTGACCATCCTGACATGATTTAAAACCAAGTCATCCTTCCATCATCCATGACCATGAAACTGTCACCAATGTTCTTCTTCTCGTAACCATGATACTTTTCTGCTTTTCCAGTCCCCCCGAGACGCAAAACTCTGTCCAATTATTACAATATTGGGACGAATCGGCAACCAAGTCTTGGACTAGACCAGCACCTTGAAAATCGCCAAGAGGACAGCCGCAAAGACACCAGTGGTCATCTGTTGAGAGACACCCATGGCAGCACCACCGGTGGCAGAGGAGTCGGATCCAGAAGCCGATGCAGTAGCGGACTCAGAGGCAGTGTCGGTCGCAGAAGCGGTCTCCGATGAGGCAGGAGCAGAAGAGGTGGAAGTGACCGAAGCAGAGGCAGCAGACGTTTGCGCAATGGCTTCGGCGGTTGCATTGCGAGTACCACATTGCTCATTCGTTTTGCATGCAGATTGTGCCTGGGCGTCGTTGGGGTTGTTGTTGACGCACTGGATGTAGGTCTCTTGACAGATGTAGAATGGAAGAGTCTCAGCAAAGGCGGTGCAGTCAGGCACAGTTCCGTTGGCGCAAACGCAGGTGTAGGTGAATGTGGTCTAGAGACAAATGTCAGCTGTGGATCGCTTGAGGATGTTGCTGCGTTCATCATACCTGATCACACTGGTTTTGAGAAGCAGACCCACCACAGATCTGGGGGCAAGTGTTCAGCTGAGCATGGCACCAGTTGACTAGGTTCAAAAATCAGTATGTTCCCCATCGAGACAAAAATTGTGGGGACCTCTCTCTTACATGCAGTCGTGGAATCGATTCCAGCAGGGTTGAAGGCAGCAGTAGCCACCGCAGGCATCGCTTGCGACACAGTGGTAGAGGCTGCGACCGAAGATGCACTCGATGTGACAATGGTCTGCGCGTGGGCGACAGCAGCCAGAGAAGCTGCAAGGAGGATCTGGTACTGCATGGTGGAGGTGGTGAAGGTAGTGCGGGCTGGACTCTTCTGTCTATGCAGAGTGTCAAATCGATGCTCAAAGTACTACGTTGGTAGAGTTGGACTGATGGATGTATGAAGTAGAGTATGTGGAGGAAAAAAGCAGACACTGAGAGAGAGAGACAGAGAGCAGTGAGAGAGGGATGAGAAGGTGTGGGTTGGTACTCGGTGAAGTGGGAGGTGGAGGGCAGAATTCACACACACTGACAGTTGGGTGGAAAGAAGGACCCGTTTGTTGGGATAAGAGCTCACCTTTATCAGTCTTTGAGGGCGATGACGGCGAGATGGAGTCTCTCCAAGATGCTTTTCGGTTGCTATGGAATTTTCAAGGGCGACCAAGATAGAGGCTGGGAGAGGATGGTGGTGGCTTTTTTATTCCATTGCGCGTTCACTGACTCTGGCTGCACCTTTCCACCATTCACTTTTGTTAGCTCCCAGGAGCGCCGGTATCAAGTCCATGGCGATGCCGCTATCTGGTCACCCACTTTGCTGGATTAGGGACTAGCTGGTACCTGGAATCCCCTAGAGGCACCGACAGAGACCTATTAACCCAAAACGACAGGGTGCCAGACTGGGGAGCTCGCCCGCTTGGACCACCCATTCGTCACTCTGCTGCAATTCTAAAACACATTAAGGGCCGCGCCAATCACCAGGGCAGCGCATCGCCGGCGCCCCTCACCCTCCAACTCCACTGCGACAATCTTTGAGCACCCCTAGTTGGTGCCCAGACCCAAACAGTTCTAGGCATCGGACACCCCAAGCAAGAAACATCCGCCGCCGAAAACCCGCCACTCACAAAGCAAGATGCAGTTAGCCGTATCTTGTCCGCGATGCAACGCCTCCTACTGGTCACACCTACCGAGCAGACCGAGGCACAAGCTCGGACCCCCATGGCCCGTGGCCGTGGTCTTGGAGAGATACAAACCGAAAAAAAGTTATACAATTACAACTGCGGTCTGCATCCAGCCGCTCTGCTCATTCTGCTATAGCGACTTGGGTACTTAATGTGTGACAGGTAACACGACTGGCCACCATGTCAGAACAAGATGGAAAGACGGACTTTATGGCCGACTTCATCGGCAGCCACTCCATCTCAGAAGACGACCGGCGGTACTTTGCATCTATTGAATGGACGAATAAATACCTGGCCGATCCTCTCTACAAGGCCATCCCTACGTTTTCGCGCACTCTAAAGGACACGGGTGAAGATTACTTCTTTGCTCGTACCATCAACTCGCCTGACACTATTCCTCACCTCCTCTCTCTGCAGTTGAAGGACTATCCCAACCCTCCAGAAAGCCCCAAGGGACAATTAAAATTGAGAACAAACCACAGCGAGCCCACCGAAGTACCTCAGCACCCCGAATGCGTCGTTCTGTTGTCGATCGGTCGCCCGGGGCTCGATGGCCATCCCGAAGTCATACACGGCGGCATGGCCTGCGCCATTCTTGACGAGATGATGGGACTTTGTGCGATGCTACACCAACAACACCTTCCAGGACCACGAGGTGCGCTTTTCACCGTCGGTCTGAATATAACCTACCGTGCGCCTGTACCCACGCCGGGAGACGTGCTCGTGAGGAGCTGGCTCGTAGGAAAAGAAGGTCGCAAGTGGCTATCGAGGGGTCAAATAGTAGACAAAAATGGCAAGGTTCTGACCGAGGCCGAGGGCATGTGGGTGCTCACAAAGAGACAAGAGAAGTTATAATCTGTCACTGGTCGCCGCCGAGCAGGTCCTTTACCCGTCGATTCGAGCTGGTGGCGGCCTTGATCTTGAGCAGGGCAATTGAGTACCTTAAGCACATATCCCCTCGGCAATCTGGACAAGCTGTGACCGATTACGGTCAGTGGCCTGAGGCTACGCACTCCACCATCGTCAATTGTTATCGCTGGCGAGATTGGATAGTCAGCTCGGGAAATTATGGAGAAGCAGTGGAGATGGACGCCACCAGATAGAGGCGCACAAGCTTTGGCGAGGCTTGCCACATGCAGAAGTCGCCGGGGTCTTGATGATACTGGGGGATCTGTTCGAACAAGCACCGGACGGCATGGAGAGGAAAGATTTATTCATGGACTGTCGCAAAGCCAAATAAATGTAGAACTCGGCGATAGATGTTTCTAGACAAATAGAAAGATTTCAGCAATCGGCCACAGGGAGGTGGGCTTCTATCTCTTCCGTGCGTTCTTTGCTGGTCGAGGATTCGTGGCTGAAGCGGTTCGTACAAATTACAGCTTCATTGCGGCCTCGCATTTTGACGTGTGTAAAAAGTGCTGACCAAGTGCCCAGGAGACAAACCAAGCACGAGCACGCCTTGCCTTGTCCTTCTCAAATAATAATAATACTCCTAATCCCCCTATATCACCGACAGCAACCAAGCCGCAACGCCCAGAATTTAATTGCTCAAGAAATACGTCGCCGCGACGGGCGTGCCCAGCTTCGCCCGCTTTTCAAACCGCGACAGATCCCACCTCATGCGGTCCCTGATCCCAAAGCCACCCGCTTTCGTGAACGTGCGTGCGTCAAAGTCGGGTGGTTGGGCGTAGAGCAGGAAGATGTAGCGGTGCGGACTGCTGATTGGGGGAGGGCCGGGCCCTGCCCAGAATGCGATGGCGGGGTCCGGCGAGGTTAGCTGGCCAGCAGCAGCGGGAGCGACGCCATCGGCACTGCTTGATCCTCCGATGACGAGACCAGTCTGGAGCCAGTGCAGGATGGGACTCAGCGGCGCGAACGAGGGAAAAGGTGCGTCGAGGTCGAGGCTGAGGACGACGAATTTCTGGTCTGGGCCCGCTGTGTCCCACCCAAGTGTTGGGAGTCCTTGAGCTTCTATTCAAGGGGTTTAAGTCAGCGAAAATAGACAAGAAAAGAGAAAGACCACCAAGATTGACGGCAGATTGTTTGGACGCTCCATGACCTGAGAAACAGGGACACTGATGTGAAAAAGTCAACTCACCTCCCTTGGGGATCTTGTCGCCCGGTTTCACGACGCGCGAGCCAAAGGCCAATTGAAGGGGTTTCGATCCGTCCTTTTCAACCAGTGCCACCACAGTCTTGAAGATCTGATGGTCTGGCATGGCTGGCTAGGGATCACGTTGGCCGAGTGACGCCGGTGGACGAGTAGATTGAATGTCGACGGTCCAGGTTCTCTTTTTCTTCCTCAAGAGGGTGGAAGGAAAAACACCAACCCGAATCCCTTGGATCCCGCGATGAGGCAGTGAACAGGCAGCAATTTGAGACATTTCTCCGGTTGACAAGGGACTGCGTGAATTATAGCGAGAGAGACAGGACCTGATTGCTCCGTCGTCCCTGGATTGATCGCGTGGGGTTATGGTCGTCCTGTACCGGCCCGGTTTTTGGTGGCCGGTTCCCGACACCGGGCCACGTCGAGTTTATTTTCCATTCTTTGAACCGCCTGCAACGGGCGAAAAGAGCAAAACTAGGCCGACGACCCTTACAAAATAGGTGGCATATTTCCAGGTGAGGAAAATGATTTAGGTCTCGCTGATGCCGATATCTATTCAAGCAAATATTATCGCTTATATGCGTCAATCTCCAATGCACACGATAGATACTCGTCACAGCTCGATCCATAGACTGTCAGCATCGGTACCCGAATTGAACGAAAGAGTTGGACGGCTCTCAGTGTTCAACTAGCGGCATACTTCATTCATCCAGGTTGACCTCCATATAGAGCAGCGTGCGGGATATCAATACTCGGTCAACACGGGTTTTGGGTTTGGAAACAAATTAGGTCCCTCCTTGACTGGCCCTTTCCATCATGACGACAAAAGAAATGGACACTACTGTTAGTGACACGAACGGGGAAGCGAAAGCGAATTGTCCTTGTAACAGCGAAGATGTCACCGACACCACAAACTCCCCCGGTCAAGGAGCGTCTGAACCACCACCACCACCACCGCTGGAGCTGAAGGAGAGCGACGTCGAAGCACAACCCCCAGCTCTAACTCCCGCCAAAACCAACGAGCGAAAAGCGTATAGCGCCTTCTCCGACCGCGCCAAATGGTTCATCGTGACCATGACGGCCATGGCGTCCTTCTTCTCCCCGCTGTCCAGCCAGATCTACTACCCGGTCCTCCCGATTTTGACGAAGACATACAATCTCTCCCAAAGCCTGATCAACGTCTCCATCACCACGTACATGATCTTCCAGGGCCTGGCGCCCAGCTTCATGGGCACCTTCTCCGACGCGAGCGGGCGACGGCTGGGGTATATCATCGCCTTCACCATCTACACGGCCGCGAACATTGGGTTGGCGCTGCAGGACAGCTATGCCGCGTTACTCGTCCTGCGGTGCCTGCAGAGCGCGGGCAGCAGTGGCACGGTCGCTTTTGGATACGGCGTCATTGCCGACATCGCCACCACGGCCGAACGGGGAAAGTACATCGGTCCCATGGCGGCTGGTGTCTTGACGGCACCGGCATTGGGCCCCACCATCGGCGGCCTCCTGACACAGTTCCTAGGATGGAGAGCCGTCTTCTGGTTCCTCACTATTATCAGTGGCGGGTATTTGGTCCTGTATATCGTCTTCATGCCCGAAACGCACCGCAAGATCGTGGACGACGGGAGCATCGTGCCGTATCAGTGGTGGCGCCAGTCGGTCGTCCAGTACGTGGCCGGCCGGCGGCGGCTGAAGAGGATGAGCGCCGAAGAGAGACGCGACTATGAGCGGACGCAATACGACCTGGCAGAGCGACAGCGAGACGCGAAGATCCGGTTCCCCAACCCGCTGGGGTCCTTTGTCATTCTCACCAACCCGGACGCGTTCTGTATCATCATGTATACGGGCATCATGATGTTCAGTAATCTGGTTCTGATGACGAGTACACCGACCGTGTTTCCCAGGTTATACGGGCTCAACGAGCTTGAGGTCGGATTATGTTTCTTGTGAGTGGTCATCTCCCCCCTTTTTCCCTCCTTGTTCTTTCTTCCATCTTTTTGTTCGAAGCTCAAAACT